TCTATTTTAAAAACACCAAATTTAAACTGATATTAGCTTTGCAATCACTATAATTTATCTTCTCCATTCCCAATCACTTAAAACATTAATCTTTTTCTGTATCTCACCCCCATTATGCAACTCTCTTTTAGTTATATCTCTTTTTTAATAGGGGCATTTTTATTTTTTTTTCCCCCCTTTCTAAAAAAATCACTTTTTAAATCATCTTTTAATGTTTTTAAAAAATAACATATTTTCCGAAATACCCCATTGCCCCAGTAAACCACAAGTGTTTTATTTTTTTCATCTCCATTACTCGTCATAGCCTGCATCATTCACCTCCCTCCTTAAAAACAATTTTTTGATAACCCCTAAATTTCCCCCTGTCGCCTAATCTCACAAACATCCATCACTCACCCAAATTTCCCCAAAAAATTTCCCAAATAACAAACAATTAAGGTAGTAAAAAAATTTTTGGATTTAGAATTTCCTTGATTGCCAAACCTTGCATCTTCTTGCGGGAACCTTTCCTTTTTCCCTTTAACTCACCTCCCCAAAATTAGAAAAAATTATCTAGGGGGTTTAAGGAAAAAAGTGAAACCCTTTAAAGGGCCAATTATTTAGGAAATTTTTAAAAGTTTTTCAGCATTTTCTCCCACCATTTCTTCAAAATTGTGTGTTTTGTGATTGTCAAAAATTCTTGGAAACGGGCCCAAACCTGCTCATGTAGAAACTTCAACACTATTCAAAATTTTTGTGAAATTTAAAATCCTTGAAAGCTTTCAAATTTTGAGGACCTCAAAGATTCCAGTTTTCCCTTTTTTCAAATACTTAGTCCAGGAACGCCACAAATGTTTTTGGGAAGAAATTTTGCCATCTTGTCAAGGTTTTAACAAATACTTAATGGGGGAAGGGGGGCAGAATTTTTATCCCTGTCAACCAATAGCTCGTTAATGAGTTTGCTGCACCTCCCATTCATTTTTTCCCTTTTGAAGGTCATTTTTACTTTTCCCCAATAAATCTGCCTTTTCCCTTTTTTCCCACAAAAAAGATGAAACAAGGGTACTTTGTTATTTACTCTTTTTCCCCAAAGGGCAAAAACTTTCCCCATCTTCAGATCAAAACAAATAACATTTTAAATTCTCATGATAAAAATTTGGAAATACCATTTTAATATTTTCGTATTTTTTAAAGTTTTTTTGAGTGAGTTTTTGGGAAAAAGAGAAATTACAACCCCAGGAATCAAAGGCCTGTTTTCCTGGGTGAAAAGGGGAAACCCAAAATAAACCCCAGCAAAGTAGTACACCATATACACTATGTAAAAACAATAGGTATTAGTGCACTCCCCGGAAAAGCAAGGCGAATGAAGCCACTAGAGAGAGCCCGTGCTTCAACCAGCTCTAGAAGGGAAAATGACAAGGGAGACAGGCGGGTGATACCCAAAACCCCTCTCCCGATTCCCCAAAACCATTTTTCTCATTGGCTTGAACCGGGGGTACTGACCCGAACGAGGGGGCCCCCATCTTTCACCCTTTAAAGTAGGGTTCCCGTTTGGGTTGGGGGGGAAGGGGCCTTTCAATGAGGGTGTGTACATGCCCGAATAAAGGTTACTACTCTTTGCATCCCACAAGATGCATTTTTGGTAAAAAATTGCGCAATTAGAACCCTTTCAAGCTTTTAAAAAAGCGTCTTTTAAACAGTCACAAATCTCCCGGTTGATATTCAAGTCCCATTCGAAAAAGTTCGGGATATTAAAAACTATGCAAATTCTTCATCTTGCCTTAAGTAAGGAATTCAACCTTCTTTTCCCCAATAGCTGTTTTTTTTAAAATTATTTTTTGTAAACAGTTCTTTTTTTTCTTTTTGGATTTTAAAAAATTCAATGCTTGAAATTTTAAAAAAACTGAAAGGGCAAAATATCAGTTTTTGAGTTCTTCTTGGGAGAACTGCTTTGTTGGGGTTTTAAATACTTCATATTTACCTTTTTCCCCAAAAACCGGTTGTTTTCATTCCAGACCTCTGGGTTTTTTCAAATTAACAACGGGGAAAGGGCAGCAAATGTTTTTAAACACTGGGATGGGAACATCTTTGCTGTGTGGCACCCCGGTTTCCTTGCTGACTCCAAATAAAAGGGCATTCCCTTTTGACCTTTAGAAACGGAATTTAAGCCTTTCCCCATTTCCCCTACATAAAAAAACAAGTCGTGGTTTATTTATTGGGTTTCTCCACACCATAGAAAACACCGAAAAATTTTTGATAAATTTCCCCCTTAATATTTTTTCCCCTCTGTAAGCAATCTACATAGAATTTTTTAACCATATGGGGGGCCCCAAAACTACCTTTTTTCTCCAAGCCAAATCCCAAAATAAGCAGATAAACTTTGATGTTCTTTTTTTTTTTTTTTTGCAACGATATTCGCCCAAATGGAAAATGCACTGGGATAAAAATTTTAAACAGGCACTTCGGGGAAGAATCATTTTATTTGTTTAAAAAAAAAACAAAATAACTTACAATTTTTGTCTTGGGAGTTGTGATACAAACTCCTTTCGTTTAAATTTTTAAATAAAATTTTAGAAAAAAATTTTTGAGCTTTACTAAAACTATCTTATATACAAATTGGCCCCACATTAAAAACGCTTATGGCGAAGTTTAATTGAAAAAAATGGGAGGGGGTGAATATCTCACAAACCCGAGGGGGAAATTGAAAAATGCCCTTTTCGAATTCCCGCAACCCCAAAAAACCCTAATGCTTTCAAATATATTTCTTTGAAAAAGAATTTTTTTATGTACACTTGATAAAAGCCAAAAACCCCGGGGGCAATACAAATACGGGGGGGGAAAAAAAAAATTAGGTTTCATTCAAGAAAGGGGGGGAAAGGTAGCACAATTTTTTCAGATCGAGAGTTCTTTACCGCATCAAAAGGGGTCCCTTTCCCTTTTGTAATGTGCAGAGGAGAAAAGCACCGGTCCCGGAGTCCCCCAACCCGGGGAAATTTTAAATTTTCTTTTTCACCCTTTTATGATGAGCCCCCCTCCTCTCTTTAAAAATCTGGTTTCTTTGTCCCCACTCCTCCCCCAATAAATCCTTTCCCCGTTAAAACCCACTCCTCCAACACTTCTTTCCCCTAATCCACATTTCCCCCTCCAAAAAACTCCTTCCCGTAATTTCCCCCACTTCTCCTCCAAGGGACTCCTTCCTGTAATTTCCCCATTCCTCCTCCACACTCCTTCCCGTAATCCCATTCCTCCTCCATTTCCCTTCCCTGTAATCCACCCCTTCCTTTCCCCCAACAATTTCCCTTAAAAACGGAATCCACACTCCCCCCTCCAACATCCCCTTTCCCCGTAATCCCCACCCTCCTCCAACATGCTTCCTCGTAATCCATACTCCCCCAACACTCCTTCTTTTAATCTACACCCTTTCCCCGTATTCCCCCCCTTTCCCCCTCCAAACATTCCTTCCCTTTTAAATCCCCATTCCTTTCCCCCAAAACTCCTCCCTGTTTTAAACCACACCCTCCCCAAACCTCCCTTTTTTGTAATCCCCACCCTCCAACAATTTCCCTTTCCCCGTAATCCCCAACCCCCCAATTTCTCCCTTTCCTTTGTAATCCCACTCCTCCTCCAAAACCCCCTTTAAAAGGAATCCACCCCTCCCCCAAACTTTTTTAATCTTTTAAACCCAAATCCTCCCCAAAAAATTTCCCTTTTTCGTAATCCCACACTCCTCCGCCAAAACCCCTTTCCTTGCAATTACAAATCCTTCCTATAATCCGCAACCTCCTCCCAACATCCTTCTTGTTTAAACCACCCCCCAATCCTCCTCCTCCCAAAAATTTTTCCTTGTGATCCACACTCCCCCTTCCCCAAAATCCTCTTTAATCCCACTCCCCCTCCAAAACTTCTTTTCCCTTTTAATCCCCATTCCCCCTCCGATTCCTTCCCTGTAATCCACACTCCTCCTCCAACACCCCTTTCCCTTGTTTTCCACACCCTCCCCCCAACACTCCTTCCTTGAAATCCACATCCTCCTAAACACTTTTTTTTTTGAATCACATTCCCCTCCAACCCCCTTTCCCCTTGTATCCACACTCCTCCCCCCAACACTCCTCCCTTGTAATCCACAATCCTTCAACACTCCGTCCCCGAACCACACTCCCCCTCCAACATTCTTCCTTTGTAATAACACTCCCCAACACTCCTTCATTTTAATTCACACCCCCAACATTCCTTCCTTGCAACCCCACACCCCTCCCCAACTTTCCCTTTAATCCACCTCCCCCAACATCCTTCCTTGAAATCGCTTTTTCGAGTTGTCAATTATATTAAAAAGGGAATTTGTACCACAGATTGGAAGTGACGAATTAACAAAGTAACGATGTTTATCAACTGACCGAGAGACTCTAATTTGTTACATTGAGAGTTAACGGAAGACAGAGCGGGGTCTCGGAAAGAAAAAAAATTTTGGGAAAAAAAATTATTCGGAAATGTGTGACAAAATTGGGTCAGAGTTTGATGGATCAAACTACGGAACGACGTGTATTACTTTCCAGTGTTTGTTTTTGCGAAGTAAAGAAATCAGTGTTTATGTTGCAAGTTTACACCCAGGGTTTGGGGAGTAAATGTTAATGAATTACAAGAAGTTGTAGTGGTAGGGAAGGTTTTCCTTTGGAATAAAATATTTTTTTTTAATTAAACATCGGGTTTCCCACAAAGGTAGGTGACCCGAAAAAAAAAGAAACGTTTTTATCACATTCACTCTATCACTGTCTTTGCAAAGGCGGCCTACACTACATTTTAAAAATCTGCAACATTAAAACCCCCCGCCTTCAGACGCAGGAATGTACTTCCCACCTCCAGAACCAAATCCGGCTAATGGGTTTCCCTGAATCCCTTTGTCCACTCCAGTACACGTCAAAATCATACAAACATTTGTCTCCACGGACCCCTCTAACACGCTACGACACTTGCTTCAGTCAAAGCCCCCGGGAAAACATAGACTCCTTACTCCCCTCCCCCCAACCTTTTCCCGCTCCTTGGCTAAGACCTAAGGTGTAGTATCTGTTATTAGTTAAAACTATATGATCCCCATTTTGGGGCCTCGTATTAAAATGCTTCGGTAATGGCAAAATGCTGGGGGGTTTCTCCCCCTTTGCCCCGGATCGTCCCCGGGATTTCAATATCTCCGGGATCGGTCCACTCACTTTTTTTTACGAGCCTGGTCTCAGACGGGGGGGGCGTTGACCCCCGAAACCCTCTTCAGGGAAACCTTTCCCAGGGGGGACCCCACCCCGCCTTTCCCCTACAGATTTGTATGCCCTCCAAGTCATTTTTTTCTTCCATCCTCTTAAAGTCCCAACCCCTTCAAGAACCCTTCCCCAGTTCTCTGGATAAAAGTTTTTGAAACCCCTATTCCTTCTAATCTCCAAGCTACGAATTTCTGTTTTATTTACACCGCACATTCCCCCCCCTAAACACAAACACACACCCCACACACACACACACACACACATATATATTATTTATATATATATATATTTATATATATATTATATTATAAAAATTTATATTCGTGCCCTATAGGTAAAAATGGTTAATTTGCAAGAACCACTTAAAATTAAGTCATTTCCAAAAAAAATTCTACCACTTGTGCTTTGGGAGATTTGAAGAGAAGTTCTAGAGATTGGTGGATGAATTTGGTTAGGCGTGTGCAAAAGGAAGAAAATTAAAGGTGGAAATACAGGAAAGAGTAAGGTTATGAGGATAACAAAAAAGATTAGAAGTGATGAAAGATTGATAATCAGATTGGAGGGAGAGAGTATGGAGGAGGTTGACGTATTTAGATATTTGGAGTGGACGTGTCAGAGCGGATGGGTCTATGAAAGATGAGTTGAATCTTAGAATGATGAGGGAAAAAAAAAAAAAAGAGTGAGTGGTGCACTTAGAGTCTGTGGAGACAAAGAACTTTGTTCCTTGGAGGCAAAGAGAGGGAATGTATGAGAGTATAGTTTTACCAACGCTCTTATATGGGTGTGAAGCGTGGTGTGATGAATGTTGCAGCGAGGAGAAGGTGGAGGCAGTGGAGATTGTCGTTTGTCTGAGGGCAATGTGTGAGGATGGAAATTATAATGCAGAGGGAAGAATTCGTAAGTTTGGAAGTTAGGAGGAGGTGCGGGATTACCAAAACTGTTGGTCCAGAGGGGCTGATGAAGGGTTGTTGATGTTGGTTCGGGACATTGTAGTGGAGTGGAATGGAGGCGAACAGAATTGACTTCAAGAGGTGGTTTGTCAGTCTGTAGTGGAAGGAAAGGCGGGGTTTTTTTTGTTTTATAAGGGGTCGGCCTAGGAAGGGTTGTTGTGAGAGCGGAGGGGGGTAAAGGAGGTTTTGTGGCGAGGGGGCTTGGTCTTCCAGCAGGCATTGCGTGAGTTTTGCGTGTTTTTTTGATATAGGAGTGATGGAGAGAACAAATGGTTTTTATAATACTTGACGTGCATGTTGGAGGTGTGAGCAAAGTAAACATTGATGAAGGGATTCAGGGGGGAAACCGGCAGGCGGGACTTGAGTCCTGGAGATGGGGAAAGTACAGTTTGCCTGAACTCTGAAGGAGGGGGCACCATCTTTAATGTTTGCAGTTGGGAACGTAGTGGTAAAGGCACCCTTCTGGCAAGACAGTGATGGAAGTGATTTGATGATTTGGTTTTTGGGAAGGGGGGGGAGGGGGGGTGGGGGGGAGGGGTGGGGGGGGGGGAAAGGTTTTTCTTTTTCGGGCCACCCTGCCTTGGTGGGAATCGGCCAGTGTGATAAAAAAATAAAATTAAAAAAATTAAAATATATTTAGATATATTTATATATTATATTATCATATATATTTATATATATATATATATATATATATTCTTATATATATATATATATATATTATATATATATCGTGACTGTATAGGGTTTATTTTAAAACTGGTTAATTTGCAAGAACTCACTTAAAATTAAGTCATTTCCAACAAAAAATTCTCTTATACGTTTAAGATATATTTTTTTTTCACTTAGGCTTAAATATAAAATTAATAATTTTGTACCAAAAGAATACTAGAAAACTTACCTAACCTTATTATTACTAGGCGCGATTAATTTAGCATTAATCCAACGTAAATTTATTTAGATAAATTTACAATTATTTAATAATTAGCAAATACGATGAAATATATTATTCGTTTGGTTCAGAGGATTTTTGACGAACTTACTGCATACTACAATTTTCGCTTGCCTTATCCGGCAAGAAAGAAGTGGAGTTGCTATAAAAGCCAAAATCTCAAGTTTTCACCTAGATGGCCGACATAATTAAAATTTCTCTCCTCCCGGGTATACTGACGAAGGAAAATACAAGAAAGATGACGATGGGGGGCATCGTATCTTTTGTGACACAGGAAGATATACGATTTTATTATATAGAGGTTCTGGATGGGATTGAATGTGTAAAAAAAAGCCTGACATTTGGGTAACTATAAACTGGAGTCGAATAACGTAAAATAGCAGTAAAAGTTTTATTTTAGATGATAAAACTGGTGATATATACTGATCCACTCACTAAAGGTTCACTGAATCAAAATGGATTTGTTTGTATGCAGTTATTGTAGAATCTGATATCTAAATTAAAATTAAAGCTCTCTTATGTTACATAACGTGTAAATTAAATCCTGTTACAATAAAATGGCGGTTTAAAGGTCAGTTAGATTACTCAAACCCACTGACTCCAGATGAGTATTTTTTTTTGGACAGGGAAATTTAAAATTTCTGTTTCGCCTCAATTCCTCTAAGGAAAGGAATTAATTAACGTTATTTAAATAAATCGCGTCTCAGAAAAAAGTATTATTATATAATGGTTTTTATCGATGATTAATTTCTTATATATCAATAGTGAGAACTGTCATCAGTAATCAGGCAATGTGTAGAACAACTGTAAAATTTAGCAGTTTTCGTTTCCGAGAACAAACGATAGGAATTAACAATGAAGTCTGCGCTAGAACGGATAAAGCAGCGGTCTGCTGATGATTTCTTGCTTTCGAGAAGTTGTGTGGAAGATTCACTGTGGTTTACCTTATAGATAACGAAAGAAAAGAAGAGGTGATTGCACCAAGTTTCCAGTCGCCTGAAGCATTTTAATTCGATAAAGAGAATACATTTTATTTTTACTTTAGCCCCATTGGTCTTTTCTGATTTTCCTTTAAACGACATGTTTTGGTATATTTGCCTCTGTTGATTCTCTTGTAGATATTCCCTCTTTTATCTGTCTCTATTTTCATCTTATTTTAAATGTATCGGTCGCTGTAAGCCCTTCCTACAGTTAAACTGACCTGTTTTAAATTGTCTTATTAGTCTCAACGTTCCCACTTTGTCTAGTGGGTTCATTATTTACTTGGCCACTATGAGCACTCTCTCCTCATGGACTTTATTTCTCCACTATTTTGTCGTTAGATTTATTTTTATTATTTCTTCCTTCCCCATAAATGTTATAATGACAAGTAATTTTTAACTTCATTTGGAGCTAACTCTCCAGTATCTCTTGACAATGATGCTATTTTAATGGTGCGTCTCTAGATCACTGTTCACCTGAGGGTTCCTTTGTTGCAAGGTTGCGTTAGGTAGTATATAGTAAATCTAAAAATCAATTCATAAATCAATCATCAGTCGTTGCCTGTAACAAGTATGGCCGTCAATAATTTACAAATAAAAATGTGAAAAATATTTCCTTTTCTTGAACTGACAAGCAAACTGCCGATAAGTCGAGTAAAATAAAACACAAGAAGTTAAGCAATACGATCCTTTGTGAAGTTTTTCATAGACTTGTAAGATATTTTTACGTTTTTATATTCAAATATTTTCCGAGCATTTTTTCCATATTTTAATATTAATATTATGTTCGTAGAAAGAGCAAGACTAAACTTCACAATACAAAAGAAATATATCATAACAAGCTCACTAATTAGAAATAAATCGGTACAATGTTTTGATTAGTATTAGATCAATAGTGTGAGTGAGAGCATTGTGAGGAGCGAAGAAAAACCAATATAGTAAAGTGATGAAAAGATGCTTACTTACCTTGTGTTAAGTACAAGCAGTTTGTAAGTGATGAAACTGCGGAAACCCTTAATCCTCTTCTTTAGTCTTTCTCATCCTCCTCATTCCACTGGGCTCTGCAAGGTTGCTTAGCCCAGTCAGGACACACATGAAATTATTAACATTACCTCTAACCAACAGGGAAACTCATCGTTATCATCAAGTAAAATTTGAGGAACTCTTACCCAAAGGGACTGAGTAATTGAGATGTGAGGAAGAGTAGTTCTAGTCATGAAAGAAGGAATAATGGCTGTTTGGGGCCAATCTATGACTTACCAGAATCACATCCATATCCCTACAGTATTTCTATAATGGAGCGTTAAAGGCTTTTAAACTAATTAACCAGGAGTTTTCTCGGGATGAGATAAGTGTGTTTGTGTAAAGGGATCCATAGATGTGTTAGTGTCATGAATGTACAAAATAAATATCTATTTTTTTGAATAATGTTAATATTCAATGGCTTTTCTCTGCAAATCATTAATTTTCCTGCAAAACAAGGTGCATATACCCGTATTGATATTATTATTTCCTTTTACATGTATCGAACTGGGTTTCATTTAAAAATAAATGAATACATATGCACTGATTTTAAGGTGAAAGTTCAGTTAAACTTGCTTTCCAAAATTGGAAATGTACGAACGTTGACATATCACAAACGATATAATTAAGAATTTTCCCCATGTCTGTCGACTGTTACATTTCCTTAACTTCCATTCTTAACTCTCAGTCAACAAATATTTATCTCGAGTATGTCAACGTATTTGCACTAGTTGGTTAATTGGGTTTAAATCCTATCGATTAAACAAAAAAATATTGAAGTGGCGTGTAATATGTTCACTACTAGTCAAGAATACCCTAAGCTCGAAAACAGGGATTAAAATATGCGTGACACATGTGTACGTACGCACACATCGTCCCGAGCTGTGTGTGTGTGTGTTGATGTGTGTGTGTGTGTGTGGGTGTAGTGTGTGTGTGTGTGGGGTTTGTGTGTACATTTCAATAATATTACCTAGACTTAGGTTGCTTCTGCATACTCATCTTGTCTTATTTATGCTCATGCGTTTGAAAAAAACTTTTAAGTTTCCCGTTC